CCATATTATATACATATACTTTATAGTGTCTATCATGAGTGTTTCAAGGAGTTACAAATGGAATGAAAAATAGTGGAGGGCATAAAAAGCGAATCTTATTGAAAAACCAGTAAAGAAATGTCAATGTCGGGCGGGCCGACTACATTTCTTGAACTATTTAGATTGGCAAACATAGCCAAAAAGTTGGTACCGAGCATTGGATATTTGAAGAGAGGGCTTATTTGGTGAAAATTAATTTAAATTTTTTAAATTAATCTGTTTATGTCAGTAGTTAAAAAACCTTTTGGCCACTATATACTAAAAGTTTCGAAAGCTATTCAAATGACTGCAAATCCCACTACGAGCTTCTACAAATAATTTTTAATTACAAACATTTAATTGTTTTAATAAATGTTTGTAAAATTCTAGTTTTAAATAAAGATTTCTTTCTCTTATCGGATTTTGTGTTTACTGTGGATAAGATAAAGTTTAGATACGATAAAAGTAAACGTCATTATTTGGCAGTATCACTGTTGTCTGTCTTAAAAACAAAAATATAAAATTAATTTTTTTTCTTTGTTTTTTTTTTTTTTTTTTTTTTTTTTTTTGTAATAAGGACGTCATTAAAATAATTTTGAGAGGACAGTTTTAAGTCCTTAAATATTAAACATCTTCAAATCATCAATACAGAGCTTAGAGTTATTCAAAAGCCCCTAGTATTGATTTCAATCATAAATATAATATGCCTCATACTTTTAACCCCACAGTATCGACAAGAATAGTACTGAGTGACTCGTTCAGTACATATCTAAGAAGCTACATCATCACCTAATACAACATTGGTACCTTGCCGGAATATATGCTCTAGACCTTGCCGAATTCAACAAAAATTACTCCTAAACTGAATACGGCTTCTTGTTTTGAAATCCTCTCGTTTGTGGTATCTGTGAGGTGTTCCGTGTTATTCGGTTCTAAAGCTACACAAATATGCTACCAGTGTTGTTGTTGTAACAGTTATCCATGAGTAGATCGATTTCTGCTAATCTGATTCTAATCAAGTTGAAGGATTCTCCTATCTTCGTGGCAGTAGCCAAAGATCTTCTGGAGTCCGTACGATAGGCAATAAGATCTCGCACATCTTCATCAATTTGTGCCCAATACGAATTGAACGGCTGCACATGGTTTGTCTAGGCAGCCGTCGTTCTTCAGTGGATGGATCGTGAACTTCGATAGCGAAATTCATATTACAGCTTTGAATGACATCTGTGACTGCCCTGAATGATAAGCTTCTTAATCTAGAGGCTCCCACTTATAGCGTTGGACCTGCCTCTCTAGATGTTGTAGGTCCTTCCTGATACAACTGGTTTGGGGAGTTTTATCCACCATATGATATTTTGAATTACTCTCACGATAGCACCCAAGCAGACACTGCAACTAAAGCATATAGTCATGCAGACGTACGGGAAGGACGTTCGCCTCCTCATGTAGATGACCCACTGGTGTAATGAGAAGAACGTGTCGTGTTTTTCCAGGCCACATACAGACCTATCACTTTTTAAAAGGATCTCCTTGTCCGCTCTCCAAATGCTGCCGGCTAGCGCATTGAGGATCTTTTTCCTGCTTTAAATTTTCTCGCAGATAATTGTGGCTTTCGCGGACGACTTAAACATGTGGTAAAGAGTGTGGACTTTGACTTAGTGATTTGCTACCAATGGGGAAATTTAAGGCCCAATCTCTATTTTATGGCATTTGCTCTTTATCCCAATTGAACTTTTCAAGTTTGTTGCTCACAAAACCAATAACATCTAAATGAGTGGACACAGTCAGAACGAACTATTTTGACAGAATTTCACCTATTAAAGGCATATGATATTGTCTATCATTCAATGCTAATTTCCGACTTTGAATATTTTTCTATCGGAAAATATTTTCTAAAGTCATCAATGTCACTGTATACTCCCTGAAAACAAGAAGATAGACCCCAACTAGATACTTCTATCTGAAAGCGGCGTATACCGCAAACAATTTAAGAAATATTCATGTATACAGATGAAATGACCCTTGAAAATATATGTTTTTTTTTTAATCCAGATTTAGAGACAAAAGTTTCCTGAAAATATACCTAAATATACCGATTCCAAATATTAAAAAATGTACATGTCATTTGTAAAGGTCAAATTCTTTTAATAAATCGATGTTATTTCAAGGCTAGTTGATGCTTGAAAAATTATTCGTAAGGTTAAAAGAATTATGGTTGGAGGTCAGAAAGCCCGTCAGAGAAAGTATACTTATTAGATTGGTTTGAAAGAAATATTAAAAACAATCATTATTTGACGTTCCTGTTTTCCAATCTTTCTGTTATCTGTTTTTCCTTTACAATTGCTCTCTCAAGTCAATGGATATACACAATATTTTAGCAATTTGTGAATTTATGTATTGCTTCGCCTTTAAATAATTTGTATATATTAATTTCTATCATCTCATATAGTTCCTCAATATTTGACTACTTATGTAGGCAAACCCTTTTTGGGCCAATATTTTAATGTCCTGATTGTTTAAAAATGTAGATCCTTTGTAAGAAAGTTACAGAAGCAGTAAATCTACAAATCACAACTTTATCCGAGACATAATGTTGTCTAATTGGGATTTTCAAACAGAAAAAATCGAAAATTTATTTCATACTATAGGACTGTTAATATTATTTAAAAATTAAAATTTGTGGGGCAAAAAGGGGACCGATATGTTCCATTTTCTTTAAGATGTCAAAATGTCAAAGAAATGTGGACATTGGTTTACAACTTTAAGGATGTCATTGTTATTTAAAGCTTTTGCCATTTGTGAGGAGGTTCAGAAAGGAATGGACCAATATTGTCCATTTTGACGCCTGGACTATGATACTTCCAATATTTTGACGGTTAAGGTTTGAATTATATCTGTTACTGCCTTCGCTTAATTTGAGATTTGCATTTTTTGCAAAACATTGGACTATAGTAGGCGAGGTACCATCTCCGAACTTGATCTAATGGTCTATTTCTCTAAGAGAAAGACTTTGTTCGCTTCCATTTACATTTTGGGTTTTCATTGCTTTTGTCTTCTATCTATTCGAATGGTGATTAGAATAGACAATTCTAAAGAAATCATTAGCACCCAGGCGTATAGAAGGCCATATTGTGATTTGAAATTCCAAGAAAGTCAAATCAGTGCAAAAACTGCTAAGTTTTGGTCCGCAAGAATCTACAAGTTTTCCAATTTATTTCGATATCATAAAGAAAAAACCGGTTATCGTAGGTAAAACTTTTCTACCCTTGCAGTTCTGGAACAGAGCATTTATTCTCAAATTGCTGCCAAAAGTAGTCCTTTTGGCCGACATTGGTTAGCACTTTCCATACAAATGGGTTTCAGTAAAACATATTTACTCGAAATCGGTGTAAAATTCAGTTACTTGCTTTCGTGTTGTCGAATGGGACTAAAACAATTTTTCACAACAATTCCAGGAAATTTTGCAATCTGTAGTCAAAATTATTGCTCTGTTCCAGAACCTGCAAGAATCTACAAGTTTTGCCGAACTTTTAATACCCTCCATCATTGGATAAAGAAAATAATTTTTTATAAAAGTATCTGAGTTCAAACGGGTTCCACTTTGAACTGCAATAAGACCATTTGGATATTGCTGTTAAACTTTTCAAAAAACCATAAAGTGGGTGAGGCCGTTATATGGGAGGCATTTAGGCATTTTTATACTACAAGAATTGTCATCTACCAAATCTTCTTAAATACCACATTTGAAACAATTTAATGGGTAAATGTGACTAGGATTATCCAAATACCGAATATCGGTGGGTATCGTAATATGTGCGCTATAGGAAAACGTGGACCTAAATATTCAATGTTCTGCCGCCAGAGCTATAACCCATTATGACCTACAAATTTTTAGACAAATATCGGGAGGTATGGTTATATGGGGGCAATACAAACACAGGGACCTATACATACATTGTTTCGCAACTGGAGCTAGAACCCATTATGACCTACAAATATCAATTTTTAGACAAATTCGTGAAAAAATGTGGCAAAAATCATTAAAATACCGAATATTGGGAGGTACCGTTATATGGCGGCTATACCAAAACGAGGGCCGATATATCTCCTTTTTAATACCAACCATCCCAGACACAATACAAATTGTTCTGCCAAATTTTTAAGCTCTGCGTCAAATAATGTGGGCTGTATCGAAATTTTAACAGACAGACAGACGTACATCGGTGAATACTTAGAATTGTATGCTGATCATGTACTTTATGGGGTCTACGACGAATATTTAGAGATGTTACAAACGGAATGACAGTGTTAATATACCCTCCTTTTCAAGGCGGAGGGTACAAAAATCGCTTCTCGTAGTAAAAACTTTTTCTCCTACATTCTTGCAGTTCTGGAATAGACCATAGAATTTTTGATGCACATTTTACACAAATTAATATACTTGCCATTTTTTCATTCAAATTCGGCTATAAGTTTCTCAAACGTAATACGATGTTCCAAATTTGGACCAACTCGATACTCCCTTTAATACGAGCGTTATCATGTGTCCCAAACAGACAGACTGATTTGATATGTAACCTCCAAAACCATAAATAAAGCTGTGGGTATAATTTTTTTGTTATGCGATGACTGTGATATAAACTTTCAAATCATACTCATATTATAGAAACAGAATCTGTAGAACCCCGTCCTATCATTAATACAACCAGGAAAAAATTTACTACAAAAATTTTTTGTCTTTGTGATCAGTTGAACAAGGATTATCTATGATGAACTTTTCAGGTCGATCTAAGAGGTTGCCCTAAATGAAACATAAGCCCTCATATCTATTAGGACCTTGGCTTTAGACATTCAAAGGGCGTTTTTACACAGAAATTTAATGTTATTTAATTAAAAGTTTCAAAAAATTCCATTACCTTATTTTTATGATCCACAATTGAATTTGTATAAAAGTAGCAGTTTTAGTTTAAATTCCACGCAGGTTTTTTTTTCACATAAATGGTTTAATTTGACACTAAATAAATCACATAAATCAGTTTTAATTTTCTAGAATTTTTTCACAATCATTTAATAATTTGTTTGGCAACACAATTTTCAAAATTAATTTGCAACGAGCACTAGATTTCATAAAAAAAGAAAACAAAAAATTATTGAAAACAATAAAAAATTATTTAATTTTAACAAACACGGTAACCCTTGATACTGATTTTCGCAAATAAATATAAGAATTGATGAAGAGCGCCAAACAAACACAATTGGCTTTATGTTTTAATAGTTGTTGTTGAAGAGCGACGACAGCGCTGCGTCTGTTATGCGGCTATTGTTGTTGTATTTTGATTATTATTGGGGCTGCTGCTGCTGACGGACCACTTGAAGTGGTTGTTGTTGTATGTGTTGTTTTTTCTCCGATGAGAAAGAAAATAGAAAACAAAAAATTATACCGGGTAGCAGGCTCATACGTTGTTATTGCTATTTTCTTAATTCTTTTATTTTATTCTTCCCTTTTTTCCGTATGCCTTCCTACTTTGCACAAAGTAGAAAAAATGAGCCAGACAACAAAACGAAATAACTTTGGCAAGGCTAATTGGCGAGATGACAGTTGTCAGACAGAGGACAGTTTGAATAGTTGTGCTTCCTCTTTGTTGTCTGTTGTACAATCAACCAATCAAACAAACACGACGACAGGTGCACACGGCAATGGCGATATACTGCAAAATGCCGAAAAAACTATTGAAAGCACACTTTAGTCACTTCAACAAATCACATAATTTTATATTTTTTTCTTCAATTATTTCGTTAATTTTAAATAATTAAGGAAATTCTTTGATTTTCTTTACACTTAAATACAAAACATCCGTCTATCATCCACGAGAACACTGAAATGACGGCCAAGTTTAGTCAAACACAAACGACGATGTTAAAACTTCATTTGCAACACTCGCACACACACTCTTGTACACATATAATTGGCGCTCTTGCTCTCTCTGTTTTTGGCACAAAACAACACACGAGAACTCATTGAGAGATAAACACTTTTTGGGAGGAAAAACAAAACACACTGTGCAAATGGAAAAGGTTTCTTTGATTCTTTGCTCTCATTTCTCTATCTCATGCAAAAATTTTCTTTTTTGTTTCTTTTGTTAAATCCAAAAGCAAACATTTTTTGTTGTTATTCTTTCACTTTTTGATAGCGTTTTACCAATCGTTTTTTTCAGCGGCTTTATTAGTAGCTTCACGTTGCCCAATTTCTCTTATTTGATTAGAAAAATCTAATTGGAATATTTGCTTTTAATTTTATTTTGTTGTATTCTTTAGATTTTTGTCTGGCTACACTGCAGTGTTATTTGCAAAGTTATTGCTGAGTTGGGACTTTTGACTTGGAGATTAGCATGGACATTTTTCCGTACGCGAACCGACCGTTGAACGCCGCACACACAACACAAATAAAACTGTTTAATTCTCCACTCCAACTAAACAACAACACCACAACTCAAAGATAAATAATGGGTAACAAATACTTGGGCACTGCCAGATGAAAATATTGAAAAACTAAGGGGGAATCTTGAAATATAACGTACGGTATGATGGCAAGATGTGTGTGACATTGCCAGAGTGAAAAATGAAATACATTAATCTGTTTACATGGAAACGTGGTTTGGAGTCAGCTATGGTAGAAAAATACAGGTAGATGCATCGACGCATCTGCTGAGACAATCAACTGTCAAACCGACTTTGAAATTAAAAATGTTGAAAGAAAAATTGTTGATATTTGTAAAAAAAGTGCATATAATAACAACCTCCAATTTGTGTCGTATAAGAAAACTTATATAAATCTACTTATTGTATACAAAACATTTCAACAATTTTGTCATATCAGTGTTCCCAAGCGTTGATGCATCTACCTATATTCTTCTAACATGGAGTCAGCATAGAAATCTTACATAAGTGCCTTGTTTCTATATTTTTATTATACGCTACACCTTGCAAAGTAGGGTACATTCGTCGTAGACCCCATAAAGTATGCATATTAATAATCAGCATAAAATTCTAAGTCGACTTAACGATGCTCGTCTATCTGCTTGTCTGTTGAAATTACGATACACCCCACATTATTTGGCGTAGAGTTTCAAAATTTGGTACAAAAATTTATTTTGTTCCTAAGATGGTTGGTATTAAATATGAGATATATCCGCCTACGATTTATTATAGCCCCCATATAATCGGAACTCCCGATATTCGGTATTTTTATGGTTTTAGTCACATTTGTTACGGATTTGTCCAAAAATTGGCACTTGTAGTCCGTAATGGTTTCTGTCTTTGGCGGCGGAACATTGTATATATACGTCCACGTTTTTGTATAGCCTCCATATAACGGTGTATCCCAATATTCGGTTTTTTGATGATTTTTGTCGAATTTTTCCACGGAATGGGTAGCTACAGTACCTATATCCTCGTTTTCCTATTGCGTACATATAAGGGTCTGCCTGTTTGGCGTGTAAAGTCAGAATTACTATCAAAACAATAAAAAAACCGAATAACTTGTTGCATTGATTTTGATCAAATAATTGAAAACCGCGAAAACTGAATGAAAGGTCAACATTTCTTTTCAAAATCATGTTCTTTATATCTCTAAAGGTTTATTTCGCTAAAAAAACTACAACTTAATTATTTATTACTGGTTTTTATCCGGCAGTTTTGGCCAGATTATTTTTAGAATGAAAATAAGATTTTATTTCATTTTTTGCACGACGTTTCGTTGGTTTTTTTTCAACATTATCAAGAGCTTATTTATTTGTAATTTTTAATTATTTGTCATTATTATCTATTACTATGCATTAAAAACTGGACTCCACGGACACGCATCTGCCTGTATTCTTGTACAACAACCACATGCAAATTTGTTTTTGTACGTAATACAGAGTTATGTGTCCAAAAATGTAAACAAAATAATTAATTTTCAATAAATTATTTTAATTTCAAAAATATAAATCTTTGGAATTTGGATTATTAAATTGAAAATGCAGAAGAATGATTCTTAAAATATTTAATTTTAAGGCTTTCACATCATTCCCCTGAATGTATAGTTGTTAGCTGTTGGTTCTAATCTCTCAACTCTTGAAGCAATCGCGAGAAAATCGTGGAAAATGCAACATCCCTTTAAAGTTGAAACCAAACAGCATGGGAAACATGAAATATACGAATATGTTATCTAACGTGGTGGCGCTGTTCCTCAACCGCAGAAATGGTTTCCGAACCATCGCCTTTAGCGTTTTATTAAGTACAACGGCAATTGTTTCTATTATTAGGCAAAAAATATGTTCACATTGCCCTGCAGTGAAATTTTATAGCAAAAAAGGGTATACCCATTGTATATCAAGAAATGGAATTAAATCGCAAAACGTCATATCGAGTTTGACACTGGTATTACTATAGAGCTAAATCAGCTTGGACTTGCAGTTACCTGTAATAATTACAACATGTTAGACAACAGAAGTTTTGTTATTGTATATTCGAAAACACAGTTGCCATTGAGTAAAAAAATTTCATGCAAATTTCAAGTTACTAACAATTTTTTATAATTATAACAAAAACAACAACTTTAATTATTAACAAGGCATAACATTAATGATTTCAGTTCATTTCTAAGTTTAGTTTTTGTTAAACTTAAGTTAAATATGTTTTTTCTGCAGCTGTTAAGCTATGTGGAAGGCACATTAAATTAAAAATAAAGTCAGTCAATTCTTTAAAGCTAAATTCATTAAGTCATTTTTTTATGGAACTTATTTTTTGCCAGAATTAAAAAATATCATTGAGATAATTTTCTAACAGAGTAAGACGTGTGCAATGTGTAATTAATATATCATAATTATGTTCATTTAAATATGAAAAATACGGTTCCGATAATTTTTTGTTTCTTTAATACTTTTCCGCTTCACTACCAATAAATACTTCCAGTGTAGGCAACATGCCTTTTAAATGCAGCGCTAACCACCTAGTTAAGGAAAGTCCCGGCCATGGTAGAAGAATGTAGGTAGACGCATCGACGCAGCTGCTGGGACAATGAACTGTCAAACCAATTTTGGAATTGAAAATGTTGAATGAAAAATTATTTAAATTTGTAAAAATTGTTGAAAAACGCAAATTATAATAGCCTCCGAATGACGTAGTATAAGAAAACATATAAAAATCTACTTATATTTGAAAAAAAAACATTTAAATTTTTTGACATATCAATGCTCCCAAGCGTTGATGCATCTACCTGTATTCTTCTGCCATGGTCCCGGCAGTTCATGCGGCTCGGAATTACAATGCTCTTAAAGTACGTTTACAGTATTAAAGGTTAACCCAGTGGGTTTTATAGATCTAGTGGGTTAACCCTGCTTGTTGCATATACCGTTGAGAGGGTATAAAGTTAAAATGGAAAAAAATTGAAATTTTCGAAAACCTTTTTATCCAATGTTGTGCTCAAATGCAGAAAAACAGATAATATCTGCAATATATTAATTTTGAACAAAAGAAAATTTTGTTCAAAATTATAATTTTAATAAAAAAAACGTAGCGAACAGCATAACAGTTTAAAAGCGTCCAGGAGAATATGGAAATTCGTAAGTCCTGCCTTATTTTGTTACTATCCGGTTGATACATTCTATCTCGTTTTCATATAAATAATGCAGGAACGGCAAGGGAAATTCTTTGAATTGGATATACCCAGATGTACAGACAGTTTTTTTAAAGAAAGCTTCCGGATGATTCGAGAATGTTTTGGAATCCTATGTCAACGACTCCGTTCCATAGAAAAGCGGGACACTACTTTCATGAAGCGCATTCCAATAAAAAAGGGTTGCTATAGCTTTGTAGTACACTTTGAGGTCTTCCACCGAATACGCTAGAATAGGACGCCTTTTTGGCGCATCCAAAGCTACTGTCTGCGTCATATTTAATGAGTTTTGTGTAAAGGTGTGGGAAGTATTATCATCGGACTACCTACCCAGCAACATTGTTACAGAGAGCAAGATAGATGAAAATGTCAAAGGATTCCAAGCAATGGGCTTTCCTCAATGCATTTTAATTAAAACTATTTATAAAAATTATATATAAAAAAGAGAAAAATTAAAGCAAATAAAAATGCAATAATAAGAAATTTAAGTATATTGTTTTCTTAATTTCCAAAAAAAATTAGACAAAAAAACTTAACAAAAACAAAAAATGAACAAACATTATTTGTAGTAATGTACTACATTTTAGTACTTTTCGTACATATGTACTGCGAATTTCGAAAATCCTTTGGTACATCTATCAAACACTCCATCAGTGATCCTCATGCTAAATCTAAGAGTTCTAATTTACTGGTTCATCAAATACAAAGGGTATCATATTCAGTACTTTTCCTAACGAATTTCCAACTATTCCAACCTTATTTGACCACTTCGGACCAAGGGTGATCCTCAACCAAAATGTCCAGTTTTATTAATGTAGATATCACACTAAAGTAATGGTATATATTAAATGTTTTTATTTTAAATAAGATTGAAAAAGGAAATAAGGTAGTATTTAAATAATAATAATGAATTATATTCGTCTGTGCATTTGTATTAAAGAATACATTAATGTAATAGCTAAAATTCTTAAAAAAAGCATAACAATTTTTAGTGATATTAATTAATTTTTTGATCAATGTATTTATACTACAAAAAAAAAAAATATCCTTTAAAAATGTGCGTCAAAAAATCAAGTACTTGTAATTTACTTGGAATTATTATTTTTAAAAATATCTACAAATTCCTTAAGGATTTCGTTCCGCTCTTTTTCGGTCTCAGCAATGACTTTTTGTATATTGAGTCCTTTTTCAGTTAAATTATTCATGTATTTAACACACTCTACTAACTCCTTGTTAGTAGCTTCTATATTTTGTTTAATTATTTTAGTATTTTCTTTGTCACTTTTCTTCGCTCTTTTTGGTTTTGATTCTTCAACAGGAACTTCCATACTTTCAATATCGCAACTTAAAATTTAATACACTCAATAGATTCATCATCGACAAATTCCACAAAAGGCGTATCTACAAAAAATGCATACCATCAGGCAATATCTTGGTATGTTAACGCTAAGCCGTACCAATACCAACATTATTGTTAACATTTATTTGCACTTTTCAGTCATAATATTGCGTTTTACTTTTATCGGTTTGTGTCGGTAACTCCGAAAAAGGTTACCTAAATCCACTAAGGGTAGCAAAATGCAGATTTATTTACCGAAATACAAGATTGTTGTATTTTGGAATAAAAACTATATGCATACATACACGTTTGTATATTGTGGAATTTGTATCCGCCAAGTATTCCATGCACCCGCTCATACAAACACCAGTTTGAAGGCGATCCACTAGAAGGGCCAATTTCCTTCTTTTCTTCACTGAAAAGAAAACATTATGTCAATACTTTAGAATATAATAAAGGGAAACATTGAACTTTAATA